CGGCGTCACCGTACAGCGAGAGGCAGTGAAGCGAGCTTCACTGATCACTGCCAAGCTCACAATGTACACAAATCAAGTGATGAAGCACAAGATGAACAGGGATTGGGCCTACTTGGATGGAGGCTAAGAAAAATATCATCGATGTTCAACAAGCAGAGTACAAAATCGAAGTGTTCATTTATACCTTTTCAAGCATTCTGACTTGTTCAGAAATGACAACAAGAACACCACTGCTGTCGGTTAGTCGCCATATCGTTTAATGTCTCCAGCCAACCACTTGCAGTCTTCCGGACCCCAACGTGGAAGACGGGACACACCAATTCTACGTAGTCGCTTTGTACATTTCTTGATGCCTCGCTTCCACGTTATGTGTTAACCACCACGCGATTTCCTCCAACCTGAAGCCGCATTAGCACATGGCCAATTGAACTGTTCACTAAAATACTCTGCCCAGCGATCAAGTCGTTGTTCTTTATTGTGGATGCTTTGTCCATTTTTATCGCAAATGGTCTCACTGACCGGTATGCGACGACCTCCGGTGCTACGTATCAGGTGAAATAGTCTTTGGCTATTCCCTAATGCATAAGCTACCTCCATTTCACTAGCTATTTCGGCCCACCAATTTTCANCTATTTCTGAGTTGACGTTGCAGACGAATCCGGTCCTTATGCTGATCCTGGCAGATTGGGATCTTTCGCTTTTGATCCACTAAGATTATTGACTTCTGAGAGATCCAATGCCCTCGGTAAGCTTCGGGATCAGTCCCACAAGCAAAGTTTTCAGTCGAGTGCATTTCAAATCTAATCTGATTTCATTGTTGGTCTACTGCACTGTGTTGCGATTCTCCTAGCTCCTATCCCAGCTTCTCCTCATAACGTGCGCAGACAGCTGGATCGCGCAGACGATGGTGAGCTAATCGAGGAGGCGATTTCTGCCCATGCCCAATGAGTCGAAGAGTGAAGCGTAGCAGAACTAGTGCATGATCCGACCCAATGCAGGTGGACCAATAGGATCTGCAATTTTGTACCGAACCACGCCAACGGTAGCTTACAGCTATGTGATCAGTTTGGGTCAATGTGCCCGTTGAACTAGAACACCATGTAGCCGTTCGACGAGAGCTGTGTCGAAAGTTGGTGCTAGATAAGAATAGCCGGTGATCCGCACAGAACTGAAGTAGTCGATCACCGTTGTCTATTCGCTGGGCGGGGAGGGCGAAATGCCCTGCCTAGACAGGCTTCGGGTGCGCTCAGTTTTCCAACCTGCGCGGTAAAATCACCTGCCAGCACTATAATATCAGAGTTGCGGTTCAACCGAATCAGTTCGGCGAGTTTGTCGTAAAATTCGTCCTTTTGTGAAGTCAGACTTCTGTTGGTTGATGCAGGTGCGGAAATTATGAACAAACACCTTTTGGTGTTGCTACCCTCCCGAACACTAACTGAACCCTGTAGCCTCATTGCACACAGACGACTATTGACGGGTATCCAATCTATCATACAGACTCCAGCTTTATCGTTTAGTACGATACCTACACCACGCTGACCCAGTGAGCGGGCTGCGTCGTCTCCTGATGTGCGAAGGAAATACCTCGAGGACGGACCCGGCGCACTCGGGTGGCTTATAATACTAGGATTCTGAATTCCTGTCTCCGATACGCAACAGACTTCGATTTCTAGAGACTGCATTGTACACGCAAGACACGCCTGTTGACCCACCTGCATAAGATTCCTCACGTTGAAAGCACCCAGATTTCGAGGTTGACGAGGCTTCAGAATCTACACGTTACTTTACAAGAAAACTAGTTACAGTGCTATTTGGTAAAGACCTTTGGCGAGTGACGACCAAGTTGCCTGAGGGAATATCACGGGTCGGAAGAAGGGATAAAAGGATAGGGTTGGGTACGAAGACCAAGAGTTAAACTAAGGTTGGGATATCTGCGCAGTAGCCCACTTGTCACTACCCACCCCGCTCGATGCAATGAGCAGCGCGGTCCTGATTATCCTGCGCGACGACCGATGCAGTATGAATTTATTTTTGTTTGTGTTCATTGGAGCTTTATGGGCATGTACTGCCAGGGTATCCAGCCACTAAGCAGGAGAACGATTAGGGTTGTCAACCAAAGCCTTTAATTCTGACAAAACCTAACCGCAAGGCAGCGGTTAAGGCGGATTGGAGGCCCATTAGCTTGGATCAATTATTCCTCCAACACGTTTTATTGACTGAGATGCCGACTCAAGTCTAACCCCCAATCTGGAGGACCAGGAGACTGGACTTCGTCTGACCTCTACCCAGGAATGATTAGATCTTTGGTTTGGTAAAAGCTATCCTGTGTAGCTCGTTGGGTCACAGAGGTGCACACGCCATCACACCACATCAAGGTGCAGTCGTCGTGATGGACAGAAGATAGCAACTAAAACCGACGCACGCAGGTGCATGGTTCATAATTGTACAAATTGAAAATGAAACTTCGTGATGAAGACAACACAATGCAAATACAAGAGACCTTCTTGAGAACTTAAGTTCGTGGCTTTGAATATAGTTGACGTTAGGATTGTTCTGCATTTTTAGGAAATTAGCTCTTCTGATCCCAGGTTTGAGCGCGAAATAACCTTCCAATTTCGGTTTCTTCTAGCTGCGCGATACGACTGCGTCCATGCCCTAATAAAATACTTGATAAACACACCGTACTAATTTAAGGTAACGAAAACCCCATAAAGTAAAGACCTTTGATCCCTGCACATGAAAAGCAACACTTGGCTGAGAGATGGGCTTTCGGTTCCAATCGGTACTGAGTCGTTGAAACCCACTGGCGTCATATGTTGAAGGTCGCTGTGTTTCAATGCGCGCACGATATGCATATCAGACGGATATAGGCTTTTTTCTCGAAGCGCTCACCATATAAAGACCAGTATGACGTTTCAATAATTGTCCGTTTGGTCTTCAGTGTCATTCAGATACTGAAGTTCGGTCGGCTGGCGATTTTCAATTATCAATTGATTTGCGTCTGACATTTTCTCGTTAATAGGCATATGTTTTGACACCTGTTGTGAGATTCCTCCCTATTCTTTTATAGACTGGAATGGGTGATAACGCCTTCGAATTCATTAAATCCAATCGGGTAAGTCGGCTTTTCTCTAGTTTGTTTCCAGTGTTTCATATCGACTTCCACTTCATCCTCTTCATTGAGTAAACAGTCTGCCGATTTCAATATTTCTAGAATCTGATATGAACTGTAGCTGTGTGCTCCATTGACCTCGTGTTTCGGCATTGCATCCGCAATCTCGTTATTTTGCTCTGCCCAAAACTCTGAATAAACTACTATTGGTAGTGTAAAATTTACGGATCCGCAGCGGTTTGAGATAACCCATATTCATTGCAACAGACGAAGTGTAACTGTGTAGCCATTTTTTTGGGATGCAGCCTTTTCATTTGGCCCGTGTGGCACAAAGGTGGTACGATATTAATATAGGAATTTCGGTGTTATCTCCTATCCACCCGCAGATCAGTAAGCTTTGTAATTCAAACTTCGTCACCATCACTTTCAGTTGAGGTTTTAATTGGTATTGTATGTCTTGAGCTCAAAGTAGGAATCGTTCTGATGAAATCAGAAGAATCGGCTTGCTTCGCACCACACAAAATTACGTTGGAGAGTAATCTTCATGTGATGAAACGCAATCCCAGCCTACGACTAATTTCCATAATTACTATCCAACACTCTGTCACACAGAAGGTCAACGTGATTTCCAAAAGTTACTTGGTCATATACTGCTTTCTTCATTGTCTTTCGGTGTCGATTTCCCGTGTGTGTTATGGTGGCTTCTAGTTGGAAAAACATCACTCTTGTCTCTGCTCATAGTTTGAAATCTAGATGAAACTTGCACAGTGTTAATCGGCTTTTCCCTAATTGTTCAATAATGCGAACTCAGGATTGAATTTGAATACTACCCTATGGGAAATAGATGATTGCAGTCGCAGTTGTACTGCGAACATATCACCGAAGCGTTATATGTTAGTCCTAGGTTTTTGGATGTGTATTGTTGCATCAGGGGCAAATGAATACACTCTGTGATATTTACTCCCAGCTGTTCACTATCACTCGAACACGAAGATGAATGTTTTGTATACGTAATGGCTGGGTTTTACTCCTGAGTGGTAACTACGGATTCATTGCTAGATTCTTTTGGATTGTATGGAGGCATCCGATTAGGAATCTTTGGTCCTTCACGGACTCTTGCGTATTTTCTTTCACTCCCGCGCAGATTCCACTTCCGTTTATCTCGATGCTCCTGGTTCAGTTCATTTTCATCATTACCGATCGCGGGCTTTTTCTTCAGAAGCAAGTGTTGGGGAAATTCATTTTCCAAATCATTCACGTTTTGTTGATCCATGGTTGGCTCTCGTTCATTCTGCCCCATATAACACGATCGTGAGTGAAAACCATTTTTTTCTGCTGTACATTGCACCTTTTTTCATCTCAGCTCATCTGTGATAAACAGGTTAGATCAAGAGACGCCTTGTGCATTCAAAAGGTAAATTTTTTAGCAATCTAGTCATGTTTTCAGTTTGTATCAAGCCCGGGATCAACCTGGTCAATGGTTCTAGAAACTGAGTAACGTCACCGAGCGTTGTGACTACTAATGCCATTCCATATATATATATATATATATTCCATATATTCCATATATTTACCTTGACAACATTTACTTGTTCGCTTATCCCCTCGATAATTTTCTCATTGATCAGCCAGGTGCGATGATAGTAGCTGGTAACGCAAACTGATGAACTAGACCACAAGGTTTATCTCTTGACAAATTATTGAAAATCAGTTCTCGTAGCTCGTGTGAACTGAATTCCATTTCGCCTGTTCGCCGAGCTTGGCAATTTGTTTGCAAACGTTTCTTCACCAGCCGAGGTGACGTCAACAGTGCTTGTGAAATGGCCAAATGGGAAGGTTCATTTGTATCAAAAACAGGCAGAACATAGTCTCGTGTGTGAAATAGTTCGCTTGAAGAAGGGTGGCGATCTAATGTAGATGAGAAAACTCAAAAGAATCGGTCTATTGAGGTCGTCTACTTTTTTGCTATTAGTGACCAGTTTCTCTGAAATTATTTATCTGTTGATCCTCAAGCGAACGTTTTCACGCACTTCATCAATAGGTCGTATTTGTGATTCGAATTATTCACAGGCAGTAGCGGCCTTTTGAGAGTATACTATTATCCTCCTTCATTTGACCCTTACGTTCACAAAGAATTTTCGATCGATTCCTAATCTGACGGCAAGGGTTTTCTCCCGAAGTAGCTTAAGTTTGCAGTTTATTTCAGTGACCCGTGTCATTCTTAGCGCAGTGTTTGTTTTGTCGGAGATTGTTGATCTTTTACATACAGTTTGGTTTCTTTTTCATTCAAAGACATTTTAAATACGAATAACCGACCATCTCTCTTTCTTGTATCTGCCTAATGGAAGGTATGACAAAATTCGGGGAGTTAGTGACTTTTGAGGCTTGTTTTTTGAACCATTCAATGCTAATTTATGATTTAGATACTCTTGGGCACAGATGATTGTGATTTTCCGCGCGCACTTTTGCAATAACAGTTGAATAGTATCTGGTATCGAGTGCCAGGTTGTCATAACGAAACAGTTACTCTCTCAGAGTGGCGTACTTTCTTTGGCTTACATATGGACAACGAAGAGTGTTCCACTGCGTGCGTATTAGAGAAAATTTGATGCTTCGGAGGTGATCACCTACCCCTCGTTCGTGATGCTTCGCCGTGCACATATACACGGTCCTTTTCAATTTTAAAAAGATTGCCTAATTATTTTTATCGTGATGTTTCCGTCACACCTTAGGCCTGTTACATATAGGGCTCCAATACCGTACGCAATTGAAACCGACATGAACGGAAAGTATAGTGCTATGAAACGGAGTCAAATGAATTGCTGTCATCTTGCTGATCACTTTTTTATCTCAAGCTTATGCAGAAGTTCATAGTCAATTATCAAGACAGATTTTGATGAACAGCTCGGTTTTCACTCATGTTTACTACTGCCCGCAGACTGTAATTCCTTCCGGTGTACGTTTCATTAGTGAAACGAAATCAGTGATAAACACATTGCCTAACTTTTAAGTTATTGTGCGATAAGCTCGAACGATTGGGTAGTGATCAAAAGCGAGGAAGTACAACTGAGTTTAAAATGTGGCTTTAAACCCCCATAACTGTAGGCATATTATCCATCATTGAAGATTAAACCGTATTTTTTTATTACACACTTTCGTGTGATAAACAGCAGACGGGGAAAGCCCCATAGGCACGAGGACCTGCTGTTCAATGGTGGAAACCGGTAACCTTATCTGCGGGACTTGGAGTGGCGAACCACATAAGAACCCGATAGGTTAGGTTGCTAGTAGACAGTGTAATCATCATAGTGGAAAATATAACGTGATCACTACATACAATAATGTACTTTATGAACGGCTTCACCTTTCTTCCAATTTTTTTATTATTATGCCACTAAAACCAAATTTCAAGAAATAGATTCTCAATTTGAGTGTTAGCTTCAAGGTGTTTATAGGTAGTGATGTGTGGTCAATGTGATAGATTCCGATTGACCACCACTACAAATCCTAAGTTTTCCGGGTTATTATGCACTATTGATGAGCACTAAGAGCAGAGAGAAAGGTATCACAATCGCGTCTCTCTCGTTTTGACCTCGGCTTACCTTATCGTGATTCATCGTTAATGGATTCATTTGCCTTTGAAGTTGCATGAATTTTTGATTTCGCCTCACATTCCCATTGTCTGTGTGTCAGTCGCACTAATCCATGCCTCTCTCTCTCTACATTGGCTCACACAATCACACAGGCCTTTCAATGCCTCGGTGGCTCCTCAATTACTCTACCTGATCAAATGTATTTACTTCTCTCTATCTGCCTACCAAATTCGGAGTGGTTACCCACATCGGATTTTGGGTAACTTTTTGACGAAGAATTATAACTATCTAAACCTGATCTTGTTCAAAGGGTAAGTCCTTCCTTTATGCTCATTGTTGCCAGTATTCTTTTCTCTGTCATACTGGCATTGATTTATGCGGACATTTTGCGCACTGACGCCCACCACGTGGGTGTTTTCTCTCTCTCGTCACTTGTTGTATGCTTGCTTGTCATTGTAGAATATTATTTAATACATGAAATAAATCTTTGGTGACCACTTCTACTTTGAATTTAATTTCGTAGGAGTTTTTTCCTAGTAGCTCAGTCCGACTATGCTGGTGATCGGTGGTTACTTTATCCACTATATATATATATATATATATATATATATATAATGTATACACGAACAAGTATGTTACCAAAGCGCCTTCAATAATAATAGAAAAGTGATAATTCGAGTGCAAAACGGAAACATGTGGAAAATCTCCATGGAGAGAACAAAAGTAATGGCGTCTTTCGTTTGTTTTATGGTTCACTTTTTGATATTTTTGTGTTAAACATTTTATGCAATACTGGATCTCAACAGACAGAACATACAGCATTCGCGACACGGACTTCGATTATGATCCATATTTTTTAGCAGCTGTAACGAGCGACAATCTTCTTCCCCTGGACCCCAACTTGGAAAGCGGTTTGAATTGACCGAATCCAATGATGATGGAAGGTATGCGTCAGTGGTATATATTGGGTGGTTAAACTATCCAATCAATAGTGCTTCCGAATCGACTGTGGAATATGTTGCATCCAATCCAGCAAATTTTCTCGAGTAACTTCTCACTGTCCCCGATTCTGATATGTTGATCAAGCTATAGTCATCCGCACCTTTTAAGTAGACCTGTGTATTGTTTCCAGATTGTGCGCACTCACCTTCAGGCCACAACTTCCTCTAACATACTTAGAACACACGTAGAACGCGTAAGTCTCTTGTCAATTGGAGATAATTGGTATCCCAAGCCATATAAGGCCCCCAAAGGATACTTTTGGTATTGTGCCTGATCTCAACGTAGACGTCTCTGATTGTATTGTTTACTTTGTAGATTGTAGTGTATTGACACATGATTGTTGCGTCGGTTGAAATTTTTATCAGCTATTCTCAATATTGCAATTTAATTATGCTTTGTATTAACACGATTTCCTCTCCGTACCGCTCGCCATCTGTAGCTACCTTATCATTCCGTTCTTGTACGAATTGCGCAACGTGATGGACTGGATGTGGACGCACAGTGCACTATCACTGTATCACTGGATGGAATTGGAAGATATTTATGCCAAAATCTTCGTCCTCAAATGTTGGCGTCGCTCGGAAATAGCCTATCCCACTCCGCGTGGAGTAAATCGTCCTGCGGGAAAGAAAGCGCTTGTCGGTGGCTTGCTGCTCCTGTTCTTTTTTCTCTGTTTCTGGGGTCCTATGGCCCTGAGCTCATTCATTGGTGCCACATTCGATTTCAATCCACCGGTATTGTGCACATTTTCCATATCCTTTGGCGGATTCCCGGTTAGTCAGTGCTTTTAAATACTATTCTATCTGTGCTGTCCATCGAATAATTATTTTTATCCCACGACGTTAAACAATAATGAGTAGATACAGTTTGCAAATGGATGTTTGGCGTGTTTGAAATTTGTTTGGCGATTGTGAAAATTCCAGTAGACTCATTGGGATTCGAACTCACGCATGTACCTCGCTTACGCTTTGCACGCGCACGCTCTACCAGCTGAGCTACGAGGCCACAGTTAGCATTGATCTTTTCACATTCGAATTACCCATCCAACTTCCAGAGGTATATGACATCCACTAGTTAACATGTAAGCTGACTGCTCCGACAGGTTTTCCTCAGAATTCACCGAAGTCCACCGGATGACCTTTTAAGGCAAGGTTAATTGTTCAAATTCCTGTTTAGCAGATTTGAAGTTTGTATGAACAAAATCCTTCGCCCTAAAATCCGGTGGATTCCAAGGAAAATTTGTCGGGGCAGTCAGCTTACGTGCTAACTGGTGGATGCTATATGCCTCTGTGTTAGATGGGTAATTCGAATGTGAAAAAATCACTGATATCGGTGTGGCCTCGTAGCTCGGCTGGTAGATAAATTTTGTCTTTTTCGATACCACCTTCACGACGTACACAACGAAACCTACTCTGAACAAAACCAACTAGGGTTACGGATTTGCTGGGCGAGTTTGCGAAGTTATTATACATCGCCCTCAGTTCTCTGTGGACTAAATAATGTTTACGTTTAGGGTCATCTAGACTTAATTAAAGGAGTAACTTATGGCCTTTTCTTTGAAACGCCTTTTATAGAGTTATTCGTCTGACTAGTGTTTTTATCGCATTTTGTCTCCTTAAAGCGATTTGACCACCCCATCTTTCCGTCTTGATCTCTCCCCACCTTTGTTCCACGAAGCCTATCTTTGAATTTGCTTCTCGAGAGGGGAACATTTTGAAAATTAGTCAGAACGTGCATCTGGACTTCAAGCGGTGTCACGAAAAAGACAAGGTGGGTTATCTAATGCAGTTTCGTGATGAATTTTTCTTCGTTATTTTTTTGGTGGTCTTCTTTTTTCCGGGTTACATTTCGTGCTGTTGATTATCATCACACATGTCTGTCGGTATCTTGGTATAAAATGTCGCAGCTCAGAACTTCCGTCCCTCAAAAAAGAAAACACACTCGATGGACGTTTGGTGATGTTTCGCTCCGTTCAGCACCTTCGTATTTTTGCTATTGAACTGCTTTTTCTCATACTCCTCTCCTTTTTCTTACACTTTTTACCGTGTTTTTCACAGCAAACGTTTGGATTCCTCAGTAATTTTGAAGCGAAGGATGTGCGCTACATCACTATTGATGGGTTTTCCGGCAATATATGGGCCATTACTCCACCTTCACATAGAACTCTACGTGCCAAGTTGGCTGACTCGAAATCGGATCTATTACTGCATTTTCATATGCAGTGTCGTCGGTACGTTACTGCTTTTGCTATTCATGTTATTATCCAGTTGGTTTTTTACCTAATCAAAGTATGTCGCAATTTTCAATGTTTACCCAATAGTCGGAATGTATTGGGTGTCGTCGGTTGATAGAAATGTGTACGTATTCAATGCCAATCATGTTACCAGCGCGACAACAAAAAATAGGGGGATTTGGGTAATAACGAGGAAGATAATAAACGACAGAATACACAGAATCAGCGCTAAATTTTTTTACCTTCATATTTCTTGGTTGACTGGCTTTACGTTGGTGTGTCTTTTTTATGTCTGCAGCTTGCAGGCTGCTGACTACGTTTTAAGCTAATCACTTAGCCTCGCTGTCGATCGGCAATCCTTTCCTTTAAACCCCAAACTGTAAAATGGGCTGCGCCAACCGAATCCCATTTCTCCAAACCCCAACAGGGTTTGATCACCACGTAGTATCTTCAAACCTTGGAAATAATGTGGAATGATTGTACCTCAGGATGCGAATGTGGTCTCGGAAACGGTAGCCGGATTATTACAACACGCAGTAATTTTGATTGCACATAAGGAAACGGCGACAGTGAACGCCATCCGATGAAAACCAAAGGATCAGCGGCGGCAAATACTTTGTGAAATAAACCAGTGGAAAACTCAAGACACGACTAAATGAACACACACCGGCGGTCAAAAGACACCAGGAGAGGTCGCAAATCTCAATCCACATGGATGCTAAGAATCCCATCTTCGAACTGGATGATGTAAGAATAATCGGAAAAGGAACCACAAAGTCAATGCGGGAATTCATCGAATCATGGTGCCCCAGGGTAGACAGTTAACAAGTATATAAAACTGAAACCCATTTGTCTACGGAAACTGCCCCAGCCAGAACCCGGCCAAAACCAGTTTTGAACCAGCCTCACCCTGACCGGGGAAGTTGTAGAGAAAGTAGATAAGTTTTGCTACCTGGGCAGCTATATCTTACCTGGGGGACGCATCACAGATGAAGTGTCGGCGCGCATACAGAAAGCTCGGTTGGCATTTATCAACTTGAGATATCTGTGGCGTCATCGGGACATCCGGTTGTCTGTGAAGGGTCGAGTTCATGCTGCAGCAGTTCGGCCAGTTCTGCTTTACGGTGCAGAGACTTAGCCATTACGGGAACAGGATACAAATAGACTGTCGGTGTTTGAACACCGCTGTCTACGCAGCATACACAAAATAAAAATAATTTCATACTGCGTCGGTCGTCGCGCAGGATAATCAGGACCGCGCTGCCCAACCCTTGTTTAACTCTTGGTCTTCCGTTCCCAACTCTCTCCCTTTACTCCTTCTACTGACCTGTAATAGTCCCTCAAGCAACTTGTATGTCGCTCGCCAAAGGTCATTGCCAAATAGCACTGTAAGTGATTTACCACGGAATGGATTGCGGATTCTAAAGCCTCATCAATCACTGAATCTG